AAGCAAAGCAAAACATATCGTTGCCACCCTCAAAACGTGGCGATGGGATACCTCCACGCTTCAAGTGAGATGGTACTTGAGGCTCTGTGAGCTTCTTGCCCGCTTTGCGGGGGAATTGTCGGGAATCCTATCAAGTTTCAAGTGAGATGCGAGATGGCCTATGAAATCCGCGTATGCAAGATCCCCAAAGCCAGGACCCAATCGTCTGCCGGCGACCCCAAATATTGTTTCAGCTATCGCCCGACCAACGTAGGCAGAATACCAGTACAAAGGGTAAGCAATGATATGTAGGCAAGTAATCACTGGCCCAAAGGAGTGGACGGCACATCTGACAGTTGCTTCTGTAATTTTTAGATGATCATTGGTTGGCGCGCCACGACAAAGACAAGCGTAACTCACATCTCCGTATCTATCACAGCCATTCCAGCGCACCAAACTCTCCCCCTTCTATCCTCTCTTTTGTTGATTCGAGTTGTCGCATCGATTCCAAATGCACGTCCCCAGATGATTTATGATAATGGGAGAGAATGCGCACGACCGGTACTTATCAAACCCTCCCTCTTCTCATGTACAGAAGTGCTCTTGGCAGTTTCAGCAAGAATACTGAAGCCTGCACTTATCAAATTGCCATCATAGTGCGTGATGAATAGTTGCTGTTTCGATCAATTCTTTGTCTGGAGAAAATAGGTCTCAAGGGGAAGTAGTGTCACAAGCGGCGTCATAGGTACTTACCTAACATATATAGCCCGCTAGGGATCTCAGCACTGAGACGGGAGGAAGTATAAAACCGAAGGCTGAACAGGATAGACTATATCAGGTACTCAGCTCGCGCCTAGCACCATCCTCAGCCCAGCGTCGCTCCTTAGCTCCTGTTATTGGGTTATTCGGAAAGAATTGTTCAGTACCATAGTATAAGGAGAAGCTATGGTGAAATTCCGGAGCTGTATACTTAAGTAGTTTGTGATGATCGGTCTGTACTTGGCACCATAAACATCTGCACATACCGCATATTATGTACCTAATTCCTTCATGTACATCTTTTTTCATATGAGCTATGACGATATGCTGGGTGCATTACCTCATCATAGTAGATATACATATATACTCCATGCATACTGGTAATGTGTTTAGGGCTGGACTCTCCCGAGAAAGATGGAGCCGTCCCTAGGAGCACATATGGCGGGTACACTTTAGGTAGTGTGTCACCCAAACCGTCGGTACGGGGTCTCCAAAAGGCAAAAGTACCGATTTACTCTTAGCATTTTTGTTCTTTCTTTCCATATTCATGTTATATATTAGCCATAAAAATTCAGGCATAGCAGTATATTTACAATTAATTGACACTTAATTAGCAATATACGCACAACTGCGCAGGCGAGAGTTGAATAGGTTAGGTAGTGACTCCTCCGTCACAGGGAGACAATCCAAGAACCAAATTCTAAAACCTGCCTCCACGCTCCGTCTTTCTTTGGTCTATCTCTAGACGTGATCAAGTGAACACTTAGCACCTCGGTTCTCACTCTCGATCGAATGGTTAGACTAAGGCTGTTGCGATGCTTAGCGTTGTCTAGATCCCATTTTTCCGACGGGGTAGTCAATTATCACAGCGCCGTTCCCATGCCCGACCTTATGTTTGAAGACATGTATTTGCCTAATCCATACAAGATCAACGATCAACTAGGCTTCCCATATTCGGCAATAGACGTCTTGGTCAGCTTACGGTAGTCATCATACTCGCATACTCGGTATGACGTAGAAGGAGGCTACTTAGTACACAAAGTGTGCAGCCGATTTCTGTGGGCGGATTGGTGGTGCTCTAGGCAATCATTGTGTATAAAGGGTGGGGGGTCCACTGTGAATACTGTGTATTTATAGTGGGGTAGTCCCTAACAATTTCATGTCTTGGCCATTATTGTCTTGGCCATCATATTTCCTGAAAAGGTATTAGGTCTAAAAGCTATCGGACCAGGTTCCTCAACCATGCGGATGTGTTTCAATGACAACGTTGTGAACCTCTCTATAGCCGTATTCATTACGGCATCGCCTCCTAATCGAACGACTTCTTGGGTCCCAGCAGTTCTACACAGCCTCTCTTTGGATAAGCAGTAATGAATGGGGTAGGGCCTCATCCAATTTCGTAATTGGAAATCGTGAGTTCCCTTTGTATTTTCATATCTTGTCAAATCGACACTGGGAACTAGGACATCCTTATACGGCGTAAAGATCGAAGAAGCGAGTGAAGATGGAGGACATACAAACGGATGTGAGTATATATGGCAATACATCCTCCCACATTGAAACCACTTCTGCATCCGTCTACATCCACTCTCGTGCTCGCCCTGAACGCATCTATTCTTATTAATTCTCAATATCCTTCCTTTTATCTTTATTCTTATTTTGTTTCCTTGTCCTGCGCCACGGGTGACTCTAAAGGCACCCGAAAGTTATCTTGGTTCTCAGCTCTCTTGTCTTGAGAAATCGAAGACGCCATGCCGTTCCCTACTCCTTTCCGAGCCGCCACTCTGTTGTTGGCCGCTACGACGGCCACCGTCCACGGGAAACCTACATACCAAGTACCAGCCGAAACACGGGGATATCCGGCGAGTGGTATACAATGGAAGCCATGTCCAGATAGTCTCAACGCCGTAGCATCCCTGCCTGTTGAGTGCGGCACCCTTGACGTGCCACTTGACTACACGGCTGTTGACAGCACCGAGACACTTGAACTGTCGCTGGTGAGAGTTCCCGCAGTCAAGAAGGCCGCCAACCATATTATTCTCTTCAATTTTGGAGGCCCCGGGTTCGAGACCCGTTATACGCTGGCCTCACTAGCCGATATGCTGCAAGCGTAAGTCCCCCTGTTGTATGACGTCCTCTTCGAATACAGACATAATCCATAATCTCACTCTACCCCCTCTTCAATATCTGCCCTGTCCCTGTAGGGCCGAATAAAAAATAGTAGGGGATATAAAGAGGACATAGGAGACGTAGCTGACATGGGTCTCCTCGGGCTATACAGTGTCACTGGTGGTGAGCACGACCTAATAGGTTGGGACCCACGGGGAACAGCCAATACCCTCACCTTTTCGTGTTTTGCCAACAACACGGATCGTACCCCCGTTATTTCGCCTTTCAACTTCGGCAACTCTTCAGATATTGCGCGCGGCGTGAGCTGGGCGGCCGGGAAAAACTTCGCCGACGCCTGTGCAGGGTATCCAGAAGCTCAAAAGAGGGGCCCCCTCATAAGCTCGGCCTTCACAGCCCGCGATGCGATGCAGATTGTTGATGCAGTGGAGGAAGATGGCCTACTGCGATACTGGGGTGAGTGTCTCTCTACAATACTCTCGAAGGGAAGACGCGATAAAAAAGACTAACACGTCGAAAAACTCTGTAGGTCTGTCATATGGTACCGACCTAGGAGTGATCCTGGCGGCTTTGTTCCCGGACCGAATCGAGAAGGTCATCATCGGTAAGAATCAAAACGCCTAAGGCTGTGTAGGAACCAAATCCACTAATGCTTTATATTAGATGGTGTTTATACCCCAATCCAGTACTTTAACGAGCTGTACGTCTAGTCTTGATATATTCCCTTGAACATGACAAGAACGCCCCAGCACATGACATACGATTAACGCCATGCTAGGTCCGACTCGGAGGGCTTTGGCTCCGCTGATGACACATTTGCCGAATTTTTCCGTCAGTGCCTCGCCACGCCCGAGGTCTGTCAACTCGCGCGCAGCCACCCCAATGCGACAGCGGAACAGCTCGAGTCGGCGGCATACGACCTCATCGAGGAACTCAAATATCGACCCATTGCCTACGCTGGCAACGTCCTCGGCTACTCTGAGCTGAAGCTTGCTATCCGATTCTCGTTGTACAGTCCCACAAGTTTCCTGACGATCGATAAGGTATTGGATGCGTTTCTCGCAGAGCCCCGAAATGAGACACTCGCCGGGGCTGAGCTGCTCAAGGCTAACTCCGTGGGGCTTGCTGGATTGGAACAAGTTGACGATGCGCCGCTTGGTATCGAGTGTACCGATAAGGCGCCCCGGACGAGCTCGTTCGATGTCATCAACGCTGCTTTCGACAGGGCCCAGGCAGCCAGCCGTCTCTTAGGCGATTCCCTGGTTGCGGCTGTCGCAACTTGTGCGCAGTGGAAGCTAGAGACGCGAGAGCGATACACTGGCGACTTCACAGAGGTCAAGACCCGAAAGCCCCTGTTCGTGATTGGTAACACCTACGACTCGGCCACATCGATCAAATCGGCAAGGAACATCAGTGAAACGATCGAGGGTAGCGTTTTGCTCGAACACGGCGGTTTTGGTGTATGTCGAACCCAATATTGAATCCTTTTATCTCCCGTTGGTTTTTGTTCTGTCACTAGCGAGCTAACTTCTATCGACGCAGCACACATCCATCCAACAGCCTTCTCTCTGCACGGCCAAGGCAATCCAAAACTTCTTCCGTGACGGCACGCTCCCAGAGCACAACACTCTATGCGACACTCCGACTACACCCTTTGAGTTTGCCGTATCTGGTCCGACGTGGCAAGATCTATTCCCACAGCTGGGTTTTGAGCCGCCCAGTACCAATGGCACCAAATCTGCCCAAGCGAAACGTCGTGGTCATGATGATGCCATGAGCAAGATCGGTCGACGCTCATTCTGGTAGATGGGAATTTGGAAAATAGTAGCGTCTATTAAATAATGTGAGGCCCTCATCGCCACCCCTTTTTCTGTTTATTCTTCCCTTTGGGCTAGTTAGTCACTCATGTTGGACATGATGTGTATGTTGTATGAGTAGTATAGAATGGATGGTATATAGCTATGTTATACATACACATGCATGATATTCGCTTCCTACTCCCCTAATTCCTCCCAGCTTCGCTTCGTGAGGGTGACATGCATTCCCAACGCCGTCGTTTCTCACCCAACCCTCTCTCTCTCTCTCTCAATTGGAGCCAGTTAGAGACGGCTTCTTCCACCACATCTGGCTCCACTGCCCTGGTAGCTCAATTGGTTAGAGCGTCGGACTTTTACAATCACAGCATGTGATCGAGGCATCCGAAGGCTGCGGGTTCGACCCCCGCCTGGGGCGGTAATTGGTGAAGATCTTGTCAAGCTAGCTAGCTCAGTGGAAGAGCGCCGGGCTCATAACCCGGAGGTCGATTGATCGAAACAATCGCTAGCTAATCATATAACAAACAACTCACTAGTTATCTTGATTTTTGCAATTTCCTTATTATCAAGGTCGCAACTATTTACAGGTACTAATAATCATCTATCCATGCCCAGCACTTGAAGATTCGACCAGCTCGTCAGTCAGTTTATCAACCAGAATAATTTTGCCTCCTTCCCGTACCGCTGGTCTGAATATCTTGATCCAATTCGGTTCATTGTGAATTATGTCCCACTCTTCGACATGGCACGCCTCAATGCCGTCGTATTCCGTGTGGAAGCTGTAACTCTGGAGCCCGACAAGCACCAATACTTTCAACTGTAGGTGGTAACCCATTTTCTGTGCCCTTTCTATGATTTGGTATTTGCTGAGGCATCTTCGCTCCGTATTCAGGTTGTGGCTGTAGACTCGCAAATCCAGGAAGACACTCTCGAGCTTCGGCATCCGGGACCAGGATAACCATAAGTGAGCAGATCGGTCGAGATCTAGCGCATCGTCGAAGGCCCCCATCTCGTCCCGATTATCGATATCCCCTATAATGCCCAATTTGTGCGCATTCTCTTCCATCAATTCTAATGGAGAATGAACCACGATGTGCCGAAGGTCCTCGTAGATTGGGGTCGGGATCGGGCTTGCTCTCATCTTCGCGGTATCGCTCGGCTCATCATCGAATGGAAGAATAGCCCTGATCCTTTCATCGCGAAGGAGCATGATATTCCCCCAATCGTTCCCGAACAACTCTCCAAACGCCTGGCCAGGGAGGCCATCAATACCAAGAGCAAACACATGGGTATGGCTGCGACATAATGTCTCCATGTACTCCTGGGAGAAATTCTTATTAAGTACAGCCGCATTTGGATTGAATTTCGCCACAGGGGTGAGAATGTGATCCTCGTCCCCATGGTCAAATTTGCACGAAAGAGAACCAACTTGAGTTCCTATTTCCCGAGTATAGGTTACAATTCGGATATTCCTCGGCAAGACCTCGAGCCCAGGAGTTTTCCTTGGGCAAATATTCCAGTCGGGGACAACAAGGTCGAGAGCACATCTGGGCTCATCTTCTACGAGTCTCTCGATGACCATTGTTATGAGCTGAGGCGGAAGATAAGTTGCATTTTCTGTCTTCCTTCTTTTAGGACTATCGAGACGGCTTACACCCGTGGCAGGTCGCTTATTCCCCTGAACATCGGTCAAATCAACCTCACCAAAGGAGTTGAGATCGCTAGAATGGATCTTGGCCGCCCTGCCCCTTTGGGAGGCTTGTAGACTGTACGACGACGCGTCTTCTTCTTGACTCTCCCCATGGGGCGTGTAGGAAAGCCCAGGCAGTGGCCAGTCCAAGAAGTCAAAAATTTCTGTCGCATTCACATCAGTGAATTCGAGTTGTCCACACTGCTCGGAGGTCGAAACCGGGCTCTTCTCCACTGTCTCATGGGGTATGACAGATTGGTTCATTTTGAAGACAAAAACAGAGATACAAAGCTGATAGTCAACGGAACAAGCTGGCATGTATTTTTTAATTATGATTGTGCTATGAGCAAAGAGCAATCATCCAGTGATTATTTAGTGAGGTCTTTGTTCTTCTTATACCGTGACATGGCATGGGAGTAGAGAGAAGACATATTGAAATATACGCCCGGGAGTGAGTTGACACAATACCGAACAAAGGGGTATGTTATCCATCTTATTGTATAGTATAATTGAACTCCTCGTTTGAGACTAGATGTAGAGGTGGCCCGGCCCATTCAATAGAGACTGGGTTATTGATTTATCATTTGCTCTCGCTTAAACTCTCCAATTTCGTCGGCTTGAGATATGACATATCAGTTATTATTTCAATGGGTAGGCCTTTTATTTTCTCATTATACTAAGCTCGATCCATCCCCTGTTGGGAGATATATAATTTATCAGCATGATCGTACGTGTCTGGGTGCATTCGTTGTACTATAGATCATGTGCCAGGTTAGATTGCTCATGAAGCAGTACGTAGGTTGGAGAATTAATGCAATATATAGAGATGGAAAGATAAAAAATGGCCACTCCTAGATCAAATTAAGTATAAGTAGAGAGCCATATGGAAGCCATGTAGTCTTTGTCTAAACAAAAACATGGTGAGATAAAGGCAATACATTCCAAGGCATAGGGAGCAACTTGGAGGACAAGCTAATCAAAGAATCTAACGATATTAGATTAAATTATCTCGAACCTAACCAACCTCTATCTCTACCGAAGGCTAAGTAGCAGCTATCATTTAGTGTGCCATAGGTATTAGATAGTCACCATACCCGTGGCTACAACATGAGACAAAGGCAAACCCACCCCACTAGTTTTAGACGAAGGTATCAGAGGTAGCTAGCTATACGGCGGGTGTATTATTTAGGGGAGGTTGAAAGAACATGTACGATATACATCAGATGCCCTCCTAGCCAGGAGCTTATGTAAATAACATCTAACTTATCTATAATGAGCAGGGTTGGTAAATTAGTCACTTAGTCTTTAGTCAGACTAAGACTAAAGGCTTTTAGTCTTAGTCAAGCCGTTAAGTAACTAATTTAGTTAAAACTAAGACTAAAAGCCTTTAGTCTTAGTTTAACTAAAGACTAATTTAGTCAAAGTTTTTATTTATTTATTTATAATTATTATTTACTTATTATTA